CCCTGGTCATGATCAGATAACAATGAAAATGAGAATATACTGGATCCTAACACAGCCCCTCCATGCTTGAACTCAGTGGCATGAGCTCAAGGTCAGAACTTAGAAACTTGATGGACACCCATTAGAACCACCTACAGGAACCTCACCCAGACCCATCACATCCAGACTCTCTGGTGCAGACCAGGGACCAGGGCTCTGAAAAGCACTCCAGTTGAGTTCAATGTCAGGAAAGTTAGAGACACTGCCCAGGAGGCCTTCAACGGGGAGCAGCCAAACAATAACCTTGGAAAAATCAATTTTCCTCAGCTTTGTTCTCATCTGAAAAACGTTATGTGGAAGGAAGTTGAAATGTATACTAATCGGTTTCCTACTGTATTGGGATAAAAATATAAAGATGTAGAACATCTCAAGTTGAAATGAAAGGGTTCCTAAGAAGCCCCTGCAACACCTGTACCATCGCCACCAAGCCAGACAGAAGTGAGAGCTTTTCCATACTTTAGTTCCCTATCTCAGAAAGACAAGAAGCAAAATCCCCACATCCTATTTCTTCCTATTTCTTTCCCCTCCTGAAATATTCACTACCCTAAGATTACTGGTTACCCTGCCCATAGGATTGTTTAACCACATAATTGTTTAATCTACAGATCCTTATAATTCTTCTGCAGGCTTCAATGTACATAAATTGTATTACACTGCATTTTGCACATACCATGTTACTCAACTTTATTTTGTGACAGTTACCATGTGGAGTGTATTTCACAAATCTTCAACTCTTTCATAGTATTTCATAGGAATAAACCATAGCCAATTGGTTTACCTTGTCTGTGGACAGTCGAGTTAATTATACTTTTATAGTTAAACAAAACCCACAAATGTAATGTGTGTGTCATTGCAGGTTTCCATGCTGCCATGTGGAGGAGTCTTCAGGAGAAACACCTAGACCTGGCTTGGTTGGAAAAGCACATTTCATCCTGAGTATGCACTTTCCAACTTTACACCAATTTACTTTTTCTAGAAAAATTAACATACATACACACATCCCATTCTCCACACCCTTATCAATACTTGGTACTATGAAAATTTACACATTGATGCCAACATAAAGGTTCTTGTCTATAATAATTATAGTTAATATTTTCCTAAGGTCTCTTCTGGTCTTATAATCCGTGATAATCGCATTGATGCCAAATCCTATCAAAAATAAAGGCTGCGGAGGGGGGAAAGTTTACAACAGATTTACTTTTCCTCAAAAAATATCTTGCATGGCCAAAGCTGGCCCATGACCCATACATCAGGCCATAAAAGAGGAATGGGGACATTGCCCCAGTTCTGTATTTATTTTCTTGTGCTCATAATCCAATGTTACTTAAAAAGCAAACTGCCCAATATACAAGCCAAAGCAAATACATTGGATTTTGCCAGGGAAAATGCCTGTGGAGAAATGAGTCAATTCATACAAAATTCAAAACTGTCTTTGGTCAGTGACATTTTCATGAAAATTTGTGGGTGGGTAAAAGTTTTGCAAAACTCTTTTTTGCTATTGGATTAAATTCATCCAGGAAAAATAAGCAAAGTGTAAGTGGCAACCCACATCGCCCCTAATTCCCTTCTGAACACTCCTTAACCTCCCAGCACAAATGCTTTCAATTGTGCAGGAAAATGGGCCAGGTGGTTCTGATCCTAAACAGAACCCTGGGTCCTGCTCATGGGACAGGCTGTTTCTCAGCATAAACACTCATGGACCAAGCTTCTCATGTCATTCAGAAAGCACTTCAAAACCTCCCCAGGAAACACCCCTGGACACTGTCCATCCCTCAGCTGAACAGCAAAGATACCTCCATAGGGTGATAGCATTTGCCACATTCTTTTGGAACCACCACTATGGGAGCCTTAAGGAATGACTGTATGATTTAATACACTTTATGTTACCCTCTTAGCAACATAGAAATGGTCTGGGGAAAAGAAAACAAAAAGAGACAAACTCCATGTCTCCAAGACTTGTTCTTGGAATTGAAATCAGGCATCTCATCATCTCAGGGAGGCTCGGGAATGCTCAACAGTCAGCAACTCAAGATTTGCCAAAGACAGAGCTGTTTTAAAAGCAAGATGGCAGAAAGAGAATAGTGGGCACCTAGAAACTAGTTTAAAGACATGCATGGAAGGACTTGGGTGCCTTAAAACTTTGCCACATCTTGTTTCTGACTCATAAGAGATGTTTCTCTGCCTACAGACGCCTTTGCTTTTCAAAACTTTGCCATTGTCTCTGCCGGACTTTAAGGACAGACTCCATAGAGCCTGTCAGAATGTAATCTGGTGAAGGGTAGGGCTGCTTAGCCGAGAAGGGACCCATCCTTTTCTTCCAGAAACAGAACCAAACAATGAAGTCAACATCTTCCCCTGGCTGTGCCACCAAGAATCCTCAGTGATCTGTACCCCAGGTTCCGGTTAGTCTGCAAAGTCACAATGAGAAATGATAGACAGGATGCATTCTCCCATGGAGCAAAGGGAACTTGGCATGTGGAGAGGACTGCACCTCAGCCTCTTACTGTAAAGCAGGCCTCAGTCCCGACACACCCTCCTTTTACCATAACTTCCAGTTTTTTGTGTTGCTTGTAGTCATGGTCACCAAACACATGGGGTCACCATTCCCTTTCTTGGTTCAAAAATCCCAGCAAGTGAGAATGATGACGAAGTCCAAAGATCATATATAGAAGAGTAATAGAAGTCAGATATACATTAAATGAATATAGACTGGCCTTAGAATTTAAACTACTCCTCGGTTTGGTAGCCTCCACCACAACCTGAAGAGCACCTTTCCAAAAGAGCATGGTTATTTTAGCTGGCATGGATCTAGCCATGTTGTCTGCAGGCCCACATATCAAGCACATGACATGCAGCAACATAACAGAAAACAGAAGATTCATGATGTGTAAGCTTATACGAAAATGGTTGTCTTCCTATTAAAAGCATACCCTCTCCACAGTGGAGTTATAGCATCAGTTACTCCTAAGAAACTTTTCTTTGTCTGACTTTATTTGAACCACAGCATGCGAGCCATCTGTGATTCTAGTTTTGATAAACTAGAGTTTTGCAAAAGTACCACCTATTAATGAGGAGAGGGCTGATTAGGAGAACAGAATGACCTCATCTGCCCATCCTGAATGGAGCAGTGAGCAGCAGTGCAAGTCTGCACACACTCACCTCTCAGCTATTCTTCCTCTCAACTCTTTCTATTTTTAATATTCATCATGCACGTTAGCAAAAGCCAACTCTGCAAAGTTGTGTGACTTTGAAAACTCTGGGACCAGAGGCAAAAATGGGGAAATCCTTTTGCATAAAAATAAATGTTGCAATGCAAAAAAAGTATTTTTTGATAATTCAAACTTTCATGTTTATTTCAGTAAAACCCAATCCAGTAAACTATTTTCAGCCAGGATTAGTCAGAACTAAAAGGTTGGACTGTTTTCCTTTGGAGACTGGATGTCTTTCCTGTTTGCAACAGGCTCCTGTGTTCCAAACAGAGTAAATGGAATTGCCTTCAATCGCTTGTCTCATTCTGGCATTTTTAACACAGAACCCTACTGACAGAGTACGTACGGCTTGGCCTCTTGGAATGTAATTATTCTTTTCACTCATGGAACCTGGCATGCTCACAATGCATCAGCTTCAGGTTTTCCTTAAGAAAAAAATCACAACATGGGGTATAATGTAATGACAAGAAATGCAATTTCATTCCACCAGAAAGCCTTAAAGCTCTTTCAAAAATACCTACAGCATGGTGGAAAGTGCTTCTAACTCTTTCATTCCTGCTATCACCTGTATGAGATGCTTTTGCATGAATCCGGGTCTGGCCAATCTACAGTCGAACATAAACACAGTCCAGATGCTATATATCACATACAGAAAGAGATTACTCTGGTTGGAAGGTCACCATTCAAACAAGTTCATTTTCCAACTGGTTTATACTCTTTGCTCGATCGCTGATCTCTGGAACTCTCAATAGTAAGGGAATACACAGAATTCTCAGTTCCAACTCGGAAGAACTATTCCTGTCCATCTAGACTAATAGAAAACATATGTTCTTCTTTTTTGCAAAGAGTTCAGTGAGCCATCTCAGATTGTGCAAAGCTATCTCTGTGATCCCTGGGGTGAAGTCCTGCTTGTAAGCCCTGAGGGTTTCTGTGAGGTGTGAAACTGTTGTGAAAGCATTTAGGAATCATATTATTCAAAAACAGTCAATCTTGCCAAGAAACAGAATCAGAGTTCCAGGATCCATGTTGAGAAAAAGAGAGGCAGGACAGACAGAAGACCCGTGTGCTTCAACACCAAAGGCACACAGCCCACTGTCATTGTGCTTTTCCGTAAAATCCTCTTTCCTCAAAATTAGGTGAGATCCCATGCGACCCTGTTTCTGTGGTAGCCCCTGATGTTTCCTTGCTCAAAATCATTAATGAGTTTCACAATTCTGAAAGGTACCATGTGCTGGTATGAAGGTGCATGCTGCAACAATGTCAGCAGGCAAGTTCTTAAACGAATTCCTTTCTTAAATGTCAAAATCATTCTTCTCGAACCCCAAATCTCAACTACATTTTTGGAGGGAAAAAAACTGAGCATTTTCTTTGGTAAAGCACAAAAGCTTGCTTGTGGCACAGCACATGGTCCTATGCCTTTGAACATCCACATAGTCAAGAGAACACTGAGCCTGTGTGCCACCCAAATTTTCCCAGACAACAGTAAGGTGTACTGGCCTCCACTACCATTGTGGCCTGGAGCCTGAGCTAGAAGTGAGAGAAACCCGCGGCAGCCAGTTATCAAAGAAACTTTCCCCTGGTCCCAGCTAGATGGAGAGGCAAGCCACCTTACAGGTAACTTTCACCACCACACATCCAAATTCCATAATAGTAGAAACTGTTTCCTGTGTTTGGTAAAATGCATGCATGCAATCAAGCTGGGCCTCCAAGAAAGCCGGCGCAGTGCTTTAGAAACCCCAAGTCACTCACCGTACACTTGTTGGGCTTCTCCCCCGAGTGGACCCTCATGTGGATCAGCAGTTTATAGCGGGCGTTGAAGGGCTTGTACCTTCTGGGGCAGCCAGTCCAGAAGCAGGTGAAGTCTTCCCCTTTGCGCTGGTCTATGTGGACCTTCTCGATGTGCCTCACCAGTTCCTCCTGCTGGTCATACAGGGCACTGCAGTCTATCCAACGACAGCAGTGCTTTCCCCCTGAGTCCTCCATCTCCCCATCCTCATCCAGGCCCGGCTGGGCCAGGGCCAGTGGCTGCGTGTGAGGCAGGAGCTCTGGGTGATGAAGGTGTGGGTGGGCATGGTATGGGGGTGGGGGGCCCTGAGGCGCGGGAAGAGGAGGAAGAGGTGGCGCGGAGGGCAGGTCCAAGGCACCGCCTGGGAACTCCTCCAGGCGCTCGGTTTTGAGCATATTGGCTGACTGGCCTTCCTGGCCTGGTAGGCCCGGCTGCAGCACCATGTTGTTTACAGGTCCAGACTGCAGGCCACCATGCTCCAGCTGCTGCATGCGCTCGTACTCCAGTGTATCATCCTCGACATAGCCTGGCAGTGCCTGTCCTCCACTGGCCAACAGCATGCCTTTCTGCCCAGTGGACACTGCACAAGACTGGGGGATGCAGCTGCCGCGAACACCCAGGAAATGCCCATAGACCTCTGACTGTGGGGACATGTTGGCAGGGGAGGCTCTTGATCCGTTGATGTAGGCAACCAAGGATGTGGGCGAGGTGCGGATGATCGTGTTGAAGTCAATCCCAATGCCATCAGACAGTGGGGACAAGGACAGTGCTCTCTTCTTGGAGCGGGCAGAGTGGGACCTGGATGCTGAGTGCCGAGGGCTAGGGTAAGGAGAGTGGCTATTTTCCATGCCAAAAAGGTAGGGTGGCAACGAGTTAGCGATGCTGTTGCTGGACCCTGGCGTGCCAGGAGGCAAGCTAAGGAGGTCCCCTAGGTCCATGCCATTCTGAGAGCCGTGGTTGGATGAAAGTGAAGGGAAAGTCCTGTAGCTCTGAGACCACTCTTGCTTCACACTTAAGGCGGATTGACTCTCTGTCAGACTCAAAGTCGTGGATACCAAAGACTCTTGCAAAATAAGGGATCTGGAGCAGTAGCCAAAGAGAAGGGGGAAGAAAAAAGAAAAACAGACATTTCAGAGAGCTGTGGATTGCTTAAGAGCTAAGAGAACACTGGCCTGGCAATCTCTTAAGAATTTCCCCCGTTACATTCTTCACTTAGACTGTGACAAAATCCAGGGCTTCTAGTTCCAGGTAAATAATATTTTACCAAGACAAACAATAAAAGCTAATGCTTACTAGAACAATGAAAGAGCTATTGTTATAAATAACTCTAGCACTTTAATGAGAATTAATAGACCTCACTTATTTCAAAGTATCTCCTTTTATATAGAAGGGGGAATTGGGGACTGGGAAAAAGTTATAGGTCCTTGTCTTGGCAAACCAAATGAGTATGTGTTAAGCACCTACTGTGTACCCCATGTCAAGGTAGGCGTTCAGGTTATACAATTCTGAACAATACTAGATTTCAGTTAAAAATCTACCTGGGAAGATAACATATAAGCCCATGATTTTTTTAAAGTAAATCTCCAAGTTAAATGCTAGAGACTTAATAATAATTTTACAATTTAGTGTCAATGATATTATCACATTAGACATTTTTAAATAGCAATTTACAATGCCAAGTAAGTACTCATTCATTTCAAATGACCCTAGAAAATTTGTGAAAATGTAAAGCACACCGACAGAAGGCATACCTTGGTGATAAAGTGCATACTTAGCACGCTGGAGGCACAGAGTTCACCCTTTGTTACACACAAAAAAATAGCCCTCAATAGAACAAAGCTACTATGCATAAAGAAGTAACAAACTGAAAAGCTGCATTTGGAATCATGCATCAGGCCATGTGGGGTTTAACCACACTTGTTAGATAGGTTTCCCATGAGCTCTTGTCCTTGAATCTGAGCAGCGCAAGGCCAAGAACAGGTCATTCACTTGCAGTGGTTCATTTTTATAACAATTCCTTCCCTGTCCTTACCATTTACAAAAAAAATGCTAAATATGTCACAATTCATTGTCTGCATATTAAAGTGGTTCATAATGATAACTCTATCTCCTTGAAAATCCATTTTGCTTTCCAGGGACATTATTGCCTTAAAAACAATTTAAAAAGAGAAAAGCTATATCCCTTGGACAAAACATTCATCCCCCAGAAGGTCAACATGTAGACAAAGAGAAAAGGTATGAGATTCCCACTCAGATGAAGCAACTGGCTTTCTAGATTCTTCTATTTAAATAAATTAATCACCAATAATTCTCATGAAAAATGTGTGACTTCCCTACATGAACACACTTACTGTCTCTGGTTGTTAAATATCAACCTGTTGCAAAGGAAGCAAAGGAAGAGAGAAGCATCATTTCACCTGTTCACTAATCCGAAAAAAATGGAAACCAGGAATACTGTTTCTGCCAAGCCTTGGATACTGTCAAGAAAACATCTCCGCTCTGGAAAAGCACAGTGTTAGGTGATAACACTGCAATCGACCTGAAGTTGCCATTGGGTGCGGTAATGTTTACCAATGACAAACACAGCAGGAACCTATGTCCAACTGCCCTTGACATAGATTTGCTTCTTGCTTCACATCCTTACATTGGGACTAAAGTCCTCCCGAAAGCTCCAAAGTGGTCTCTGAACTGTTTGGGTTTTAATTCCCCATGGACACTTCTCGGTTATTTTCCAAGCACACTTATAACACGTGGCTCTTGCTGCAGAGCTCAGCAGAAGGCTCCTGGTGACTGGATGTCAAGAGCCTTTTGACCCCTATCCTCCGTGAGAGTCAGGAATTACATTAGACACAAGCTACATCATCAGACATGCTGTATATGAAGCAGAGACTGCTTTTCACAAGGCCAAGAAACTATGGGATGTCAGCACACTGACAGGGCTCCATGGCTGAATGGGTGTCTGTTCCCAGGAGGTAGCCATTTTAGAACATCTCAGACTTTTAAGCAGTGACTAACAGCCAGAGTAGCTCATTCAATTGTATGCACATTGCTGATAAAGCTACATCATTTGGCTCAATGGCAGAATAGAGAAACATGTTCATTTTTGCAATAATGAAAGGCAAATCTCATTTCTTTTAAAAACTACGCTGAACATGGCTTAATGTATAGCACAGTATATCCTTGTGCAGACATACTGCTTAACGTCTCAGTATCTGTTTTCCAAGGCAGTTGTCAAATCTTTTTCAGATAGCAAACTGAATAGTCTACTTAAAAACAAAGGCACGAACAGAGAGCTAGCTCACACTCCTCCCTCCCCCTAATGCCTAATAGGAACAAAACTTCCAACAAATGGCAGTCACTATCCATGTCTCTCAACGGTGCACTTTAGGAGACCTAATCATTCAAAGTCATAGCCCATGAAATCTATCTCCTTGTAAGGCAGCTCTGTCATCTGCACCACACTGTAATGCATCTCTGAGGACCGTGCTCATAAATGTCAGGGCCTTTCCATCGGAAACGATGCTGTTTATCTCCCTGGTACCTACCAGAGTGTTAAATACAAACAAAGTACTAAAATGCCTGTTGATCAAGAGAGTAAGTACAGAAGGAAGGGCCCAGCCTGGTGATGCAAGTCTGGAATCCAATCCTAGGATTCAGGAGGCTGAGGCTAGAAGAATGTGACTTGAGGCCAACACAGACTACATAGCAAGATGCTATCTGTCTCAAAGAACAGAATCAATACCTAAAAATAATCACAACAGCTGATGAGCCATTACTGACAAAGCTTATAGAGCACTTTTATAAATTAACTTATTGAATACATGGTATGAGATAAATCAGACTCTTAAGATATTTTTATAAAAAGAAAATAACGAAAAATCTGTGACCTCAACGAAGTGATGGAAGTCTGAATGACGGTAAGTGACTGGCAGAAAACTAGCCGACTCTCATTTCTTCACAATGTACCCCAGTGTGGTCCACAATGCTCTGCTTGACTGAAAGACTTAGTAAAAAAACAGGCTTAAAATCACACTAGCTAGGACAGCAACACAAATTATTTTTTCTGTGACAGTAGGCTAAACGAATGTGAAGGCTGCCAAGGATTCTAGCCTGTAACCCCTGCTGCTACACACACCAGGCCTGTGGAAGAGAAAGTGACAAAGAACTCAGAAAGCTGTGTCACCACACTGAGAGCAATCTCCATTTCCATATGTTCATCTGAACCTAACGACATTATTTCTGGTGACTGGTTTATTTGGAACTGTATGTGAAAGGCAAGATGATGAATCTAAAACCAAATAAAAGCAAAGTGAAAAACTCAGAAGCCATTAGTAAAAAATGTACTCTCTAGAAGCCATAAGAGCTATGATGACCAAGTTGAGCTGTTCTGTTCTAAAGCTTAAAAGAAGTTTGAACTTAAAGGTCATATGGAATTCCTCAGACCGATGCTCACGGGGAAAAACACATGTACATATAGGAAGTGTGTACGTAACTAAATCTATAGGAGTATAGTATATAATATATGTGCCACAAACCCACAGATCCTAGGAAAGACCAGCCCTAGACTATCTGGAAATTGTCATCTATGTACCCCAGGAAATCTTCCAAAAGAGTGAGCATGGCTTATGAACACAGAACAGCTTTAGAAGACATCAGAGAGCACAGGGAGCCTAGAGTATATTCCAGGTCCTTTTCCTGGCCTTCTCTGACCTTTGTGAACATACCTCAAACAAAAAAGGCAATTACCACCAAGAATTCCAGTTTAGAATATGGAAATAAGAGTATTTAAATCTAGACTGACGTCACTATGTGGTGGCTGACCTTGTAATGACAAGCTGCAAAACTGACACTGGGCAAATCAAATAGGCTTTCTATGCCTTGAAACCACCACATTTTCAACAGGGATGGCGTTTGCTAGGATTGTGAATATTCAATCCTAAATTCAAATTCACAAGGCATGTGGACACACTAGGCAAGCTAGGTATCTACAAAGCCCATACAAACAGCATCCCATCTCCTTTACTGGTTAGCTAAGCTAGGCTGAGATACTAAACAACTAAACAGCATCCCATCTCCTTTACTGGTTAGCTATGCTAGGCTGAGATACTAAACAACTGTATGAAGTAGCACATCTACCTTGTAAATAAGAGACATATGTGCAATGGCCTTTACAGCAGGATGCGGATGACACCAAAACTGACAGTGTCTCCTGACTCCTCAGCAGAATACAGTATTTGTCTAGCACTGTGATTGCCTAATGAGAAATGACTGGGAATTTCATCACAGCAAATACACAGCACCAAAACAGGATTCCCATCACTGGATTAAACTAAGCACAAGTAAAAGGTAGAGCGTGTTCTCTTAGAAGAATGCCCCAGAAAAAAATTACATTCAAATCAAGTAAAAAAAAAAGAGAAAGAAATATAGTTGGCAAATCTCTGAAAACTGTTCAATATTATCAATAATGAAATATCAATTAAGATAATTACACAATTATTATCTCAAACTAATAAGTTGTATAGATAAAATTAAATATATGATCATGTCTGAGACCACTGCCGAGTTCCTATGTGGATTGGTCTTCTCTGCCATGTAACCTAAAAATGCCTGTCATTAGCATCACAGATGCTATTAATGGCTGTTTAAACCAACAACTCCTGATTATTTGTTCTGTCACTAGAGACATGAAATAACAAATTTATAGGCTAATCCAATAAAGCATTATTTGTAATACTAAAATAAGAGACAGAGCTACATTGTAAGCTATTAAGGGAAGAAAATATGCAATCGTCCTACCCTATGGTGATGCCTATGAACAATGATCAGCATGGCAAGGCTCCCTATAGGTATAATAGTGGCACTAATAACTAGGTGGTAACCAACAGCTATCTAATTGAACTGAAGTCCTGTTCAACAGGAAGGAAATCATATCTTGTGCTGTAAACCTAGTCAAGAACACATGCCTAGTGCGGTCACAGACTCAGAGGAGAACATAACAAAGCCACTTTCCTAAACCAGTGTAATTCCTAACTTCATTCTAAACACCTATCCTTATATCCACAGGAATGGGCAGCTTTTACTCCTCATCAAAGAGGCTTCATTTCACAGCAGATGGAGACCCTTATAGACTACCACTGCTAGTCTAAAAGCAGAGAACGACCTACTACGGTGTGTCCAGTTGCCATTGACATCTATAACTTAACCCTTACACCATCAAAGAAGAGCAGATGAAAGACTGCACCAGACAGAAACAATGTGTCTTCTAGAGATGGCAAGGAAGTTACCCTCATGAAATCTCAACAACATGGCTACTTAAACAAGACCTAATCAATGGTAACCCCAGTTGACATGGGGGAAATTTCACAGGGCCACCATCCTAAATGAAGAGATACATGTAAGAAAAGACTGCTATGAGAGGGAGAATTAGTCTCTCCCAGGGATGAAACCCCTAAATCGCTACCCAATGCCAAGTGGTCAGACCTAAAGAATACCCATAAAAGCAACACTAAAGGGATTCAGCAGGTTGCATTTACTATTTATTTTCATATATGAATGCAACAATAATAATTAAAGAGTAAGAAGCCATGAATTTGAAAGAAGGGAGTTGGAGGGAGGACAGGGAAGAGGGAAATGATATAATTATCATTTTTTAAATCATAAAAAAGAACTGAAGTCCTAATAATAAAGGACTGGTAAGAATTGGTTTTATTTCTGTCGTTTCTTCATAAAATGGCATTTGGGGTGGGAGGAAACTGATATGAAGGCTAAAGAAGATGTCTATTAATAGTCTATTAATAGTCAATTTGATGACCAGGAAAGCCAGTACCTGTAGAGCATGTGTTCCCTTGGATTTGAAGGGTGTTTATAAAGTTTCCACTCACAGTAATCTCAGGGTGATGGGATTCATGGTGATCACATTTATTGCCTAAGACTTTTCTACAGTTTCCCTTTTTCTACAGCACATAGCAATTATACAACCATAGGTAAACAATCACCTTTGCAGATTTTCAAAGGGCAAACATATCTAAGACTGAATGGTTCATGGCCTCTCTGGTCCCATCTACCTATGGAAGACCTGACGCATGAAATGCTCAGCCGGTTCACCCACTAGCCACTCTTTAGTGCTAGACTGCAATGCACTGCTCTTTCTCAAGATTTTATTCCCCAGATGGAACACACAAACCAATGTAATGACCACATAAAATGCGCAACCTTTCCAAACTGCTATAAGTGGGTTCCATCCTTCACTTCACCAACCCATTTCTCAACTCCCATGTCTTTGCCCATCCAAGGTGGGGGGGAGAACATTCTCAGAGAAAGGCTCACAGAATACACAGTCAAAATACTTGTCAGTGCATCGTCAAGATGTTGTCTTTTAAGAATATATTATGCTAAGGAACCAGATATGCCAGGAAATACTGAGATAATGACCCCTCTGGCCGAACCATGAAACAGACTGCAGAAGACACCTGGCTTGAGCGGCCTGAGTTCTGCCTACTGTCGTCTATTTCTCCATTAATTATGACTGCCTTCCAGGCATGGGATGGACTTGCCACAGACAGGAAGCTGAAGGCTTCCAGTGACACCCACCAATGATCAGAGTTAATTTTACATGCAGCACTCAGCAAGGCTGAGGAGTCCCTTGAGGCATAATCATCAATGGGAAACTGACAGCAGCTTCCCATCACTAAAGTCTCAGGTAGAAAACAAGTTTTCACCTTAAAAAAAAAAAGAAAGAAAGAAAACCAGAATAAATAAGTGATCTGGGAGCCATGACTTCAGAGTCTCAACTGGAGGCTGAAAGGAGGCCCAGAAAATAAATGAGCAGAAGGAAGGGAAAAGGAGAAACAGAGTCTCAGGACCACAAGGCACCTTAGTGGTCACAGCCCACACAGAAGGATGCAGACAATAGCTCCTTTGCAAGAGCTATCACCTCAGAACTGATACTCACAGGAAAAACTTCTGCACTGTTTTTTTCCAAGAAAATAACCTCTAAAAGATAAAACAATAATCTTCAAAAGAAATATACATTAAACGCTATACCCTAGTTCACTTTTATTTAGCCAACCCCGCTCACCCACACACACACACATCAACCCTGAGGAAAATAAAATTTTGTCTGGAGAGGAGTGTTTTCTTTTCAATTTAACTCTTCCAAATGAAAAAGACACAAGGTATCACTGCACTTATACTGCCACAGGCTTACATAATTACAAAATTATGTCTTCCCAAACACATTATGATTCATGACTTCCATCTCTATTCTTTCTACTATTTCCCTAAACTGTTGTACTACCCACACAGTAGGTACTCAATACATGCTTGAGTAGATGAGTGCACAGGTTGAGTTAGCAGCCTGACAGTTTGCAAACCAGCCCTGAGACACTGCAATACACACCCAGAAAACCTGACAGGTGTATAGAGCATCTTGTTGGCCACATATGCCTTGCTTTATAGGGAAATGATAACTTTACAAACCAGGCTTTGGTTCCAGAGACTCAAATCTCACGTGACCAGACAATAGCCATCACAGCATCCGTCCTGATTAAGAGTTTAAGAATGGTACTCGGCAGGGCAGTGGTGGCGCACGCCTTTAATCCCAGCACTCGGGAGGCAGAGGCAGGCGGATCTCTGTGAGTTCGAGACCAGCCTGGTCT